GCTGAAAACGAAAAAATCTATTTTCTTCGTGGGGGTGTTTCACCCCCTAAATCTTGAGATAAGCCGCTATAAAAAAATATGGGTCGAATATTTTTTGATGCTTTACAACATATCCAAAGCGCATTAAAATCGGTGAGGGACAGTTCCGACCGTTCCCTTGTTAGTGTTAGTACGCTCTCTATATCATTCACCTGCATGTTATCTACGGTTACAAGCGGCGATTAATTCCACGGCTTCTCTCGTCGTATTTACCATACTTATAGGACACGTATATTCCTCTGGCTCTACCAAACAGCTGCCAATAAATACTCCTGGCTCTGTTTCTTCAGAGTTTATTACCCCGAGTTTATTACCCCGATTTTTATCGGTTACAGCCTGTATTATGGTTTCGCTACGAGGTGTTAGCGTAAATTTTTATAGGATGGAACTTTAGTTTCACCCGGTTAATGCGCATATAATTCTTTTCGTGGTTACACTTGGTTTTATTTTTCTGGAGAAAATCGATTCCAAGTATTCCCTCATATTCGATCGGGAAGTTATCGGCTACAACGTGTATGGTCTGTTTGATTTCTTGATCATCAATTAACACAGTTGCCTTGAATTTTCCGATCGTGCTTATTTTGTGACCCGTTACTCCTGTCAGGACCATTAGGTTGCCTTTTTTATCAAGGTTTCTCCTTTTAATTTTCCCACCTTAATTAGAGTAAGAGTCGCTCCAGTGTCTAACAGGAAATTCATCTTGCCGGTTTTCAATTCTTTCATCGGCAATGTTACCAATTTTAATTCGATATTAGAATGTCTTCCGATTATCTGTGTGACCTGATAATCTCGGGCGACTCGTGCTTGCCTTGTCTTTATTCGCGCTTCCTCCTCTTCGCTACTTGATACCGAGTCTTCGCTCTCGCTTCTCTTCTTTCCTTGTTTTACCTTAGTGGCTATGTTGACTGGCTGGGCTCTCGGACCAATGTCTCTCTGCGTTCGGCGTGTTCTTTCTTTGTAAGGCCTTCCGTTCAGAGACCAACACGCTGGTGCCCGGTCTTTTTACAATACGTGCAGACTTTTTCTACCGTGTTTATTCCGACGGGTTTTTCGACGCAGGGCAACGAATATCTCGTCGCGTATTGGCTCGTTCTATAGTCCTTCCCGTGATGGCCGGTTTTTCTGCATTTATGACACCGTAATATCGAATTTTGTGTTTGTCGGGATTGCTCATGAGGTCTGAATTTGTTCCGTTCATTGTTACTCGGTTTAGGAATCGCTCCCTTTAATTTTTCCTCCGTGGTTGCGCCTAGTATTGCAGTGGTTAGAGTCGTATAGTTACACGAACGCACTATCGTCTGTATTTTTTCGCGGAATCCTAATTGGAAATTTTTCAAGGCTAACTCTTGAATAGTATCCAAAATCACTTTTCTCTGTTCGGACGATTGTTCTCGACCTTCTATCATAGATTGATATAATTCTATGGCTAACTTATCTACGCGGAGTCCATATTTTCTCGCGCTTTCGCTTGGTTTTTGCTTTAACAAATTGAAATCTCGCTGTATGTGAGTAGTGCTTCGCTTAGTTAAATAGCATATTTCAATTTCTTGACGTAACTGTGCAAATGCGTGGATGTCTCTATTTTGAAAGTCGTACATTGCTTTCCCCGTCAGTTTGGTGCAAATAATCGTTTCTAATAGTGAAGTTTCTTCTAGAGGATTTATTTCGCCCATCGCGTATGTGCTAGCATTTATAAATTTTTGGACTTGTTTTCGCGACGTTCCGTCAATTTCGGGAATCATACTGCGAGCTTCTTTAAGCTTCATATACGTATTCACGGGCCCCCAACGATTTCTAACGTCGTTTAGAATGCGTCCGTACGTCATATCTAGATGCCGGTGATGTGCGTGATTCCGCGCTATGTGATCCCTTTCGTATACTGCCATTTCTATTTGGCTCATACGCTCCTGTAGTGTCAACATTCCTGTTAGTATTTGGTCTAATACAGCGTCTTGTCGAGTCACTCGTGACCCTGGTTCATTAATTCCTCTGTCTGTCGAAGCTCGGAGACGATTTATTTCCGCGTCTATTTCTGCGTTTAGTTATGCCTTGTTCTCCATGTTCACGTTCTTGCGGCGGTGCATCTGGATTTGAGGCTATTCCTATGCCGCGTGCAGTCGGTTCGAATAAGTCACTTTCGTAGGATATCAACGAGTACTCTCTTCTATGCGAGTCTCTTCTCGGTCCCCAATTATTATATTATTTCCGTTTCTGTCGTTCGGCGGTCGCAGTCTATTGCTGTCTGTACTGTTTCTGCGTTGCAATATACTGTCGTCTAGTTCCGAGAATGGAAATACACGCTATATGACGATATTTGGGTGAAGTCCTGCCTCGGGTAAACTATCACTCGAGTAATAATCGTTTAAGTTACGGCGCACGCTGTCGCGGATATCGCGTACGGCTTCGTTAACGATTCTTACGGGGCTTAACGAGCTAATCCTAAATGCTTCCCGGATGGATTCACTGTATACGCGCACTGGAGCTTCTAAATGCTTTTGCTTCAGCCTACCCTTGGACATTTATATTTACTTTTATAATTAGTAACAATTTTTCGAAGTTGCATTAATACCGCAAAACGCATGTTGTTGCTGCTCTGCTAGTTCGTTGCCGGTTGAGTCACCGTGCAGTAGGTCGGCTCGCCTTCTCCAATGGCGCTGATAATCCTCGTCTGTTGCCGCTATCGGTTGAACTCTCTGTTGCTCCTTCACCGTGATTGAGCCTCTTGTTATCTCCAAATAGTCTTCCTATCCCAGGTCCTTTAGCGGATCTCACCGCTGCCATCAAATGTTGTGCCTGGTAAGGGTACAGGCACGGTTCATGTTGATCCGCAAGGATTCCGGGATGTGACGAAATGAATTTGAAAACACTTTGACTCACTTTTCTAATTTTAATTATGAATAAACTTTACTTAAGATCTGTAGTACATTTTTCGCCTTAACTTTACAGTCAGAGTCACGAGTTTTACTATAACTATACTTAGGTTGACCTATCTGTCACGAGTGACGGAATAACGGTGTTAATTCAGAATGACCTGTGGTCGCCTTCCTCACTCGTTTTTATTACTTAGGTATTACGTTAGTTAATTAGATTGTCGCGCTCAGATTCTGCCTATCGCTTGGCAATCGGTCCGAGCGTTTTAAGTAGGTTGCTACGATCGGATTCACAGTACCAATCGTGCAACTCAATTGCTTCCAATATTTATGTTTATGTTTTCGTTTAATTTCTTAATTTCTTATTTTCTTTTACTTTTTAGATCACTTGTGCAATTGCACTCGTGACACTAGTCATTTTTTATTTTTAGGTTAGACCACGTTTTTATTGCGTTTATTTTTTATTATAAGCATTTGTAAGCGTTCACGTTTTGGTGCCCTACTCCGATGGACGAAGCGTTTGTAAGCAGTATCTATGACGTCAAGATGATGTCATAAATGTTTCTCTGCCTTTCTGTGAGAGCTTACAATGAGAAAAATGAACTATATAAGCGATGCTTATAAGTGCTTAAAGCGCCTGAGCGTAAAAAGTGAACGCACCCTTTACCTCGCTCCGTACAAGCGTGTACGACGAGTCACAACGGAAAAAATAGAAAAGATTTAAAAAAAACGTTAAACAGTTGCCAAAAATGCCGAAGGGTGTAACTATCAACGTACAACTGCAACAACTGATATGTTCTCTTTGCTCTGCAAGCTGCTAAAAAAGCATCATGAAAGCAACTAAAACTTACTTCGATTATTGTAAATTAACCAACGTGAAGCTTTATCTAAGCTCTGAATTTTATCCGTACGATGATCTAAAAAATTATTGTAATTTCAATATTTTCGTATCAGGATTTTCGTTTCAAAATTACCTCAAGAATATGTCCTTAAGAAGAAATGTGATAGTTGTGAGACACCCTATATATTTTACACTTTATGCAGATGCGCCTATTTTGTGCTGCCGCCGTCGCGGACTCCGCGGCCACCCCGAAATGCGTCGCGGGCCGCCACCGCGAACCCCGCACCAATCCTGAAATGCGTCGCGGGCTGCCGCCGCTGCCGCTGCCCCAAAAAAATAAATTATATAAATTAAAATCTTACCTCCTCTTCGACTTTCTCTTCAGCCTCCTCCTCCTCCTCCTCCTCCTTCTCCTCCTCGTCCTCCTCCTCCTCCTCCTCTTCCTCCTTCTCCTCCTCCTCCTCCCTTTGCTTACTCCTCGGCTTCCTCCTCCTCCTCCATCGACTCCGCGAGGAAATGGAACAATTCTTCCTCATCGTGCAGGTGGAGAAACTCCATCATGAACTCGACGCATTCGTCTCCATCAACGTTATTAATGTTAAAGGGGAAGCCGTTGATGTACACGACATCTTCTTTCTCCTCCTCCTCCTCCTCCTCCAAATCATCGATGATAATAGGATCCTCGTCGTCCTCCTCTTCCTCCTCCTCCTCGCCTAGGACAACGTCCTCTTCCATATGGACGTCGTCTTCGACGGGGATGTCCTCCTCTGCCTCAATCAATTTTATTTTTTTACGCGGAGGCTCGTTGTTTTCCATGTCTTTTTTTCTTAGTCACACAAATTATCACGTAAACCGCTAAATATTTTTACAGTTTTATAAATAAAAAAAATCACTCGTAATATACTACAATACACAGTTCTTCGTAAGTATTATACTCGTGTAGCACACGCAGACGAGATTCGGCAGAGACTGTGACGCCGAGATCATTCGCTTCAGCGAGCCTGCCTAGGCTTTATCGATAGACGCAGTCGTATATAAACAGTTTGAATCATAAGTCCCTTCACGAGAAAAGCTATCGCTTATATCGTTGTGGCATTCTTTATAATATAGCCTAAAGATCGCGATACATTGCGACGTTGCTAAGTAGTGCGCATAATAATATAAAATTTTAAAAAATCAATTTTAACCTACGAATTGCGCGCATTTATTTTCACACCTGTTATTTTTTTTTTCTTTTTTTCTTATACATACGTTTATACATATACGTTCATACATACGTTTATACGTACATGCATACATACATATATGATTCGTGACATGGCGTGTTAAGAGAAGTGCTGGCAGATGTTTATATAAACTAAGTGTGAGAGCGCGTCGAGGCATAGGATGGTTGAATGGGAAGTAAAAACAGTACATATATATAGGGTGGGGAAAAAGTACCGGAACACCTGAATATCATAGAAAATATAAGTATTACAGAAAAGTGTTTCAGACAAAAGTTGTAGGGTTCCAAAAGATCTATTTATTGATCATATCCGTTTGACCTTGCGTGGCGTCTTCAAGGTCAGGTCAAGGTCAGATCAATTTTTTTGAATGGAGCACCTTATTTTTCATTGCATATTCTTATAGCACATCTCGAGAGCTTTCCAAATAATAAAATATTTTTTTTCATGAAATACTTTTGGAATTATAAGGCTCGAAAGTTACGGTACAGTTGACATTAGCATTACGCAAATTGTCCGACAGACGGCTAAAACCTCATGAATGCTGTTCAAGATCATGTCCTAGATAACATTTGTCAAGATCAAGGTCATTGAAGATTGTTTCTCTTATTTTCATTTTTACATAAAAATGAATTTTCAGTGCAAAAATGAAAATAAAAGAAACAATCTCCAGTGACTTTGTTTGATCTTAACAAATGTTATCCAGGACATATTTCTGAACGACATTCAAGAGGTTTTAGCCGTCGGTCGGAACACCTTGCGTAATGCTAATGCCGGCGGTACTATAACTTTCAAGCCTTATAACTCCAAAAGTATTTCACGAAAAAATATTTTATTATAGTGTTTTGGAAAGATATCGAGATGTGCTGTAAGAATATGCAATAAAAAATAAGGTGTTCCAATAAAAAAAATTGTTCTGACCTTGACCTGACCTGACCTTGAAGACGCAAGGTCAAACGGATACGATCAGTCAATAGATCTTTTGGAACTCTACAACTTTTGTCTGAAACACTTTTCTGTAATATTTTCTATGATATTCAGGTCCCAGTACTTTTTCCCCACCCTGTATATAATGATGTGAACGACAAAATTTTTATTCACATATTATTACATCGGTTTTTTTGTCATACCTATTAAAAACTAAAACCAATAGCTCACAATCGACGAGCTGATGCTTGTTAAAAACGTTGCTATCGCGTATAGCGTCTTCAGACGCGATGTTGGAGAATCGCGTATACTTGACATCAACCGTATCGACGAGTCCGACTAATTGTTCGAACGTTACATCGATCCGTCAAACGCGAACATGCGTGGCGTCGTTTCGGTCATCGTCATACGTACGGATAAAGAATCGAGGCGTACGAGCGTAGCAAACTCTAACGGTCCAACGTTTATGAAATTGTCCTTGTGTTCGTTTCGCAACATCTTGTAAATATTCCATCGCTGCTCGTAGAGGCCCTTCTACGTTTCGAGAGACAGCGACAGTTCTTGTCCGCAATGATCTCCCAGGGCGATCTCTACGTAACTCGGCGGACCAACGCTGATTTCAATTTCCAAATATGGTACTTGTAACCCGTAGCCGTCAGATCGTAACGTTTGCTCAGTAAACGCACCGCGCGATGCTCCACGCTGTGTACATACGTAATGTTAAAAAACGTTTCTTTTTGCGTATAGATCGTTGAAACTTACATGTTACTGCAGCCCTTCTTCGTTTCGTACGATCCGTAGCTCTCTTTGGCGAAATACATTTTCAACCGTTCGTACAAGCGGGTATAGCAAGACTGATCGTACCCGCGTAATTGCGACGTATATGGTAAAACTTCTAGAATCGAAGAGGGGGTAACCCCTCCCCTTCTTTGCATGAATTGTGAACGTGTCGCGACACGTTTTATCGCATTTTTTCTAAGTATTTTCTTTGTTCGCGTGTTTATCAATATTTATACTTTATGGTTTATATTTCGATGGCATTGATGATGATGACGTTGACGACTTTGATGCTTTTTTCCTCAGGACATACTCAATATCTCGTTTCTTCCTTCGATGCCGACTTTGATGCTTTTTCCACAGGGCATTCCCAATATCTCGCTTCCTTCTCCTTCTTTGGCGGTGGACTTGGCGGACTTAGCGACAGGGGACGGTATCCTTTTCGCTCGACCAATTTTCGATATAGGTAGTCTCTTACTCGATCCATGTCTTGACGCTTATAATCGAAGTTTACGATTGAACGAAAAAAACCTTATACACTGCCTGTATACATTGCATATAGGTACATACGTACATGTTCGTACATACACGTTCGTACATACACGTTGGTACATACACGTTCGTACATACACGTTCGTACATATAGGTACATATATACACGTTCATACAGACACGTTCGTACATACACTTTCGTACATACTCGTTCGTACATACAGGTTAATACATATGCGTTCATACATACACGTTCGTACATATTATACATACATACGTTCATACGTACGAGTACATGTATTACAAAGGAAGGGGACAAAGAAATACGTAATCAATGCGTTAACTTAATTTTATTTAAAAAAATTCTTTTGCAACCACCAGTTATATATTTTAAATACATTCTGTAACGCGCAAATCTTAACATGTTGTTCGCATCGCATAGTATTAGCAACATTAGAGTAGTTAACGATTCCATGTCTTCGTACACTGCATCCAAGGTCTCGATGTGCATGCGTTCTCGTTCATCGTCCAGAAGCAAGTTCCATAGCCACGTCCGTTTCTCGCGTCCCTTGAGGTACACGATAGCATCATCTTCAAATACGACCGCAGTGATCAAGAATTTCGCCTCGCTGTACGGGATCATTCCGTCCT